TTAAAATACGTTGGTAATTCACGTGTTTTCATTCCATTAAGTTACTCACTGCTTTCTGCAAACACCACATATTCTCCAAAGAAGAGCTTAGGTTCGTTTTTGTGACTGAGATCTGTTTTTTTGTGAAGTATAACAGAAAAATCCTAATAGAGTCAGATACCTTCAACAGAATATGAAAAAAATTACAAGTTTAACTTCACAGAGTCATCAAAACATTTGTCTTTAACTCTTATTTGATTTTGATCAAACTCAAAAAGTGGATCACAGTACATATCGAGGCAGTTATTTAGGTTAATTGTAGGAGATTGGACATTTTTAAGAGAAAACAAAACAGATTTTTGATATGCTACCTGATTATGAATGAATTAATTAATGTATTTATTGTCACTATAGTGATGTATGATATATGTACCTAGCTAATTAGAAGAACATGTTAATTCTCCCCTCTGACCAACTGACCGCTGCATCTCAAGCATTTTCTTCTCCTTCATGAACTGTTTAGACTTTTTTTCAAGTTTTGTTTGCTCTTTATTCCACAGAGATCTTTTTTTTGGCCACTCCAGTTTGAGCACTTTACTCCAACGTTCTCCCTGTCCTGACCTTTCATGCACTGTGGGTTTATGCTCGCATATTCAAGGTGTAATCATCTGTGCCTCCTTTCGTCCTCAACCCTCCAGCTCTCTGTGTCCGGGTCCGCTGGGCTGTAAAAGTTGCTACCAGTGGACTGTTTGTTGTGCTTTGTAAACGTCAATGGTTCATTGACTGAGGAGGTTTGCTGGAAGAGAGGGACGCCTGGAGGACACTGGTTCTTTCTTTTCTGATGAATATTGCTCCAGTGAACTGCAGCTCTGTCCTCTTACAACTTTTAACACAATGACCTCTAAGGCTGGGTCCAAACAAAACAAGCTCTGTTTAAAGACTTTGCGCTGTGAAACTCACAGGCACTTGAAGACATCCTTCTTAACTTTAACCATAGATATTCTTGTATTAACACTGGAACATCAGTTGGAGAAGACGCCTGTGTGTCGTAATAATTTATCAGCTCTTTAGTTCACCAATATGATTAATTTATGGAGGAAGACGTTTTGCATTTTATGGCTTATCATTTTGTGACAGTTTTATTGAGGTTTTAATCAAATGCCAGAGTAATGATGGAGCAACCAGAGTTTTCTTTCGGTGTATTGCTCCTCAGCTGGCTGAAAGAAGGCTCCTGTTCTCAAAAGTCTTACACTCTTTATTTAAGAGTCTGAGAGTAAAGGGGGGTTAAATGCACATGTACACTACACTTCTCAGATTTTCATTTGTAAATTGTGCTTTTTAACAACCATGCACTAAGTTGGTTTATCACTTCAACTCCCAGTGAAATACATTGAGGCTTGTGGTTGTAACTCGACCAAAATGTGGAAAAGTTCCAGATGCTGTAGCTTGAAGAATAAAAAAATATATATTTATTGGATTTTGGAAAATGGAAAGAATATTATTAAAAGATATCAAGAAAAGGACAAGCACTGGAGCTGGAGATGGCAGAGCTGAAGACCTAAAAAATGAATTCACAGCCGACAAAATAAAAAAACTGAGAAAGCATCACTTTTACATCACTTCTGTTTCTGTGAACAGAAAATCACACATTGCTCAGACAAACAATTTTGAACTTGATTTGAAAACCTTTTAGGGCCTAACATGGTCAAACTCTTCATTTTATATTCAGCAGATCTCTGATCTGCTGAAGCATTTCTCTGCCGTTGGTCCCAAATACTAAATGTTTTGCTCTGTGGAACCCAGTCTTTAGAATGGGTTCCTCTATTTATTCACTATTATTTCCTTTCCAAACCACTTGATGGAGCTTTTGTATAGAAAATCTTAAACCTTTAACTTATGTGTACTTCATTTGTAAAAAGTATATGAATAAACTTAACTCACTAAATTTAAATTATTACACTAACGCTAATTTAAAACTGTAGTTGATAAGACAAGCACTAAACCAGCTGGTAATACTATATAAATTGCACATCCACAAAAATGATTAACACTCTGCACAATATGTTTCTGAAAGCTACGACTAAATTAATCTGGTGTTGACATTATATAACACTCTGATCAATATCTGAGTTTTATTTAATTATTGCTTTGAAAATATGGTGACTGTGGTATTTGTTTTTATCCAACTGTAGGCATATCATAGCAGTTCATGTTACTTTTACTTAAGTGCAGCTTGAGGCATCATGAACTGAACTCCACATGCTCCTCCCATCAGCTCCGAATTGTCAATTCATTTCTTACTTCAGCTAAATCCTGTGTGTGTGCAGCATCAGTTCTCTCATCTGTTTAGCTACTGATGAGCAGCACAGCCCCCAACACACACCTATGAGCACTTGTAAAAGATTTAAACCTCTCAGTACTTTCATCAGAGCGAGCTGTGTGCACATGGGAAGTTCCCTCTGTCAACCTGGAGACGAGTCGCCAACACTTGAAGTAGACCTTTAAACTGAGGAAGATTTCTTGAGGGGAATTCAGTGACGTCTGTGCGGTTTGAATCCCGTCTGGCGATCAGAGTACAAATCAACAGCTTGGCCAGCTAACGCATGTCCCAAAGCCTTCGCAGATGGTGCTGTGGTGTCCTCACACTCAGGATGTTCTCTGACACTCATGACTCAGTCTGTAGTAATGACACCATATTAAAAAAAGATGAGCTGGCTTGAAATACTATTTCACTCATACTCGATATTTCCTCTTCAAGACACGCCTGTTTTATTTTAAAGGGCTGAAAGGGTCAATCATTTTGTTTGTTCCACTTTATCATTTACTGAGCACTACAGAAGGCTGACATGTTTGAGATGAATGCAATACAGGATGTGTTGTTTCTCGTCTGTGTGGGACTTTGCCTGGCAGACATAAAACACTCTAAGTAGAGAAATGGCTCCATCTCGTGGTCGACCTGTGTTCAATCGTCTCATGCTTAATAATCTTGATTATGACTTTGGTCTGAGTTCTACTACCTCTCCTGATTCCTGCAACGTTTGCTTTTTTTTTTAAGATCAGAGGCATTTCGTTAAAACTTGTTTATTTTTTGATATGCAAAAAACAAAAACAAACATACAACAAAACATTAAACCAATATAAAATAATCTTGTAATCTTTAGTGTTTTACTAAACTCGTAAAATAATTACATTAAATGCTTAAAGGGATTTTTTTCAATTAGAAAAAATGCCTACCATAAAACATGATTGGGGGTCAGCAGATCAGATTCTGAGAGAAACTGCTTGCACTTTTCAGCCTTGTTTAGAATCAAACCACAATTTTGAACCTTTTTCAAAAAAGTTAAAACCAGTTTGAAATGTTACACCGAGTATTGTCAGTGAGTGTTTTGTCTAAAAGTGGGGCACTAACACAGTGTTTCTTCCCAGAGTCGCATTGGCTTTCCTCACAATGACACACATTTTGCTTCAGGGATTTGAAACACTGATTGTTTTTGCTGATTTTTGGGGCAATGTTTGTTAGTAAGTAATCCTCACTTTTAGATGAACTGAATATTAACAGGAACATAGGAAGTGATTCGTTCTAATTTGAGTTCAAACTGCCTGTATCAATTCAATCTGCAAAAGGAGTCTAGGTTTCTCGACGACGTAAAAGTAAAAGCTATTGTTCGTTGGTAAAGCTTGGAAGAAGATTTTGTTTTCACAATTTTATTAAATAAAAGTAACCCAAGCAAGTTCTGGTGAATTATATCACCCACTCACTATGATGTTTGCATCATTTTTTGTTTTGTTTTTGTGATTCTTAAAAAGTCAAACAAAAATAGATAACCTTCCTCTCTTTTATCCGCTTCACAGCAATGCCCACCCCACTTCAGGTTCCACGGAAGAACATAATGGAGAATAATGATCGGAGAACAAGAAGGTCTGCTGGAGCTGTTGACATTTGGTAATCTGAACATTTCCCAATAGGCAGAGAGTTCAGCTGGATAACCAAAGGGATTCTTTCCTATCGGGTTGGTGTGAAAGTCTGACCACAAGAGGGCAGCAAAACACAACATTTCAGAATTCCCTTTAACCCGAGACAGAAGGCGACTTCAGGGTTTTTCTCCAAACCTCGCGCTCTGCATTTATTCCAATGCATTTCATTTAGATCCCATCTGACCAGAGCACCTTTCCACACCCCTATTTCAGAAATTCCCGTTTGGAGAGTGCAAAACTAATGGTTGTCTTGTTGGTTAGCATTGACAAAATAAAATTTTTTAAATGCTCTTTTTGATACTTTTCACTTTATAAGCTTTAATAAGAAATAAGACAGATGTGAAGGGTAATCAGCATAGTTCACTTTCAAAGGAAAACAAAAATATTCATATATCAGGATTTTTTTTTTTTCCCAATTTCAAAAACCTCATATGTTTGCCAATTAAGTGACATGCCAATGGTCCAAAATAATAACAGGCGAAATGTTTGTTATTTGACAAAGTCCAGTGAATACAGAGATCGATTCAGTAAAATTAATGTTTAATCAGGTTTGACAGTCAAAAGATAGCCATCTTCTCTGTCACCATCAAATGTTCTTTTTACAGTTCGCCTAAGCCTCCTTGTTTCTTTAATTGGACAAAGTGAGATTCTGGACTCCCAGATGCTTCTTCTCCTCAAAGAGGTCAGTATGTCTAAAGGTTATCTCTAAGTTTCTGGAGTTTTTTTTTTTTTTGCCTGCAACAAACAATTATCATAATAGCAGTGTGAAAAGTTATTTTCCATGTCCACATTTCTTCTGTTTATATTATTTTTTTTGTAACGATTAGATATTTCAGATTGTCAAACAAATTCTGATGTCATCATATCATCAGACATGATGTTGATAATGTGATAAACTGGGGCTGCTTTGCTGCTTCAAGACCAGAATAATTTGTTATAATTGATGGAACCATGACTCTTGCTCTAACAGTAAATAATGGAGAATATCCAATCATCAAATAAAGACTTTAAGCTCAGGCGCTCTTTTGCTGGGCAGGAGACCAGTAATCTAAAGTCCACCTTGAAATGATTCTGAAAAAACAACATACCAAACACTGAAACATTTTAGTGTGACCAAAACGTACAAACAGATGAAATATCTAAGGGCAAATAATTTTTTCACAGCACTGTTGTTGCTCTCTCCTATTGGGTGTAATAAAGTAAGCATGTTAAGATTTTGCAGAAAGAACTGCGAGACAACCCTTGCAGCACCCACCCAGTCAATGTTTGACAGGTCCAAAGGCCAAAGACCGGCGCCTTTGTATTAGTCAAAGTCAAACTGTACAGTTTATCATTTGTTCATTCGTAAACAATTACGAAACAGACACGCACAAGAAATCTGAAGCTGCACCAACTTAATCTGGTTTTCCACATGAAGAAATCAGCTGTATTTTAGAGTGACATGTCCATTTAATTACAGACGTGGCGTGAGAGAATTAAAGGATTAGCGACAAGAGAACTCAGCAGGCTTTCAGGTCGAACAGCTTTTTGATCTTGCAGGAGAGGGAAACATTTCTGAGGATGTTTTTACAAAAGCAGGTTAAAGTCTGTGCGTTATGATGACTGTCATGTTTGTGTCTCTCTTCTTTCCTTTGAAACCTCTGATGTCTACAGCACAGGACAGAAGTCGGGACTCTTCACCATGAGAGTTGTGAAACTAAAGAAAGTGAGCAGCAGGAGATTTCATCATCCACCAACAGCCATCCTGCAAGATTCAAAAATTTCACAAAAATCCATGTAAACGTGACTGGACTCTTTTCTGTTGTTGTAGTGAACCAGGAAGTGCTTATGGCTTCTTTTGTAATGTTTCATTTATCTTTGTAGTCCCAGATTAGCTCCAGTGATGACATGGAGCTTTTTTCAACTTTGTTTTAGTTCAAAGTTGAAAAACCAGTTGGATTTACTGAGTGATTGGGCTACTTCATATTAGCTATATAAGCTAATAAAGATTTCTCTACGGTTTAGTTTCAAACTGTAGAGTTTAGTGTTTGTGTAGTTTTTAATATGTTTTGGGTTTTTCTTAAGAAATGTAGCCATATTTTGATATTTTGAAGACGGAGTTTGTAGGAAACCTCAGATTTTGACTTATTGAAATTTCTGTTGATTTTTCTTGGAAATTTAAACTTTTAATCACCTGACCTGCTCTGAACTGAAAACTGAAGGTAAAGTGGAAATTTAGAGGTATATCTGTGAATTAAAATTTAATTCAGTGTTTCATTTTATGTGGAGCGATATGTTGCCATACAATATAATGAAAAGTTAGGTGGAAGAAAAAAATGTGCTAGCAGAAAAAGTGCACAACCAAAATTAATGAGTAGAGTTCAATAAATTGGGGGAGATTTATAAGAGATGTGGAGGGACTGTGAGAAAGATCTTTTTTTCTCAGTGCTGCAAAGTCCTCTTTTAAGACAAAAGTAGATGTGTTTTTTTCATTTGAAAGTCAAGGTCCAAGAATGTGGGAGGAAAATGGAAATGCACACATTTCAAATTGTTTGAAGCCTAGAATAAAGTTTTCACACTCAGTGATGATTTTTGGAGCCATGACATCTATTCTTGTTGATCCTCCACTTGGAAAACCTAGAGCTCTTCATTTTTCACTCTTCTCATAAACCAACACTGGCAAAGTCACCAATACCTGAGGTTATAACCATATCATGTCCAATATTCCTGCCTGGCTCGTAAACTGATTCATCACTGGAGTCTTGAAAAGAGAACAATGAGGAAACCCCAGAACCAATAATGCAGAGGAGCTGAAGATCAGTAGTGGAGCAATATGGGTTTCCTTTACATTACATCTGAGCAGCAAACTGACCATCTCCAGGCAACTCGGCATTAACGCAGGAACTTGTGTGAAATGAGTCCACACCAAAGACTTTCCGTTTATAATCCATGGAAAACCTTTTCATTAAAACATTAAGGAAGTTCCAATAGTTTGTTTTGCTTTTGTACAATATTCAGATGTTCTGAGACCCTGAATTTGTCTTTTCATAAAACATAGAACTTAACAGAAATATGCACTCAAACTATCTGTAACGATGTAAAATGTGTAATAGAGTCAAGAAGATAAAATTCAGAAACAAACCTTTTCAATGAAACTCAAATTGTATACTTGTGATTAAAGCATGGGAATTACAATGGAAGCATTAAATGCAAATGTCACTTAAATAATCGCATTTGGCCGTCCATTAAAGATTAACCTAATCACCTTCAAACAAGCCCGTTTCCTATTAGCCCCGCCCACTCATGATATTAGCCAATAGAAGCGTGCAGCGAACCTTCGCCCTATCCCTCCTCATTGGTGTTCGCTGTGCTCGTGGAGGAAGTTTCTGCTGGCGACCAGTGGAGCAGGTTTCCCCGGATTCAATGCCTTATTTTAATCCAAAATTAGAATAACAAAAAAAAAAAAAAGAAAGAAAAGCAAATCCGCGCTGCCGTGGTCGCGCGTAAAATGTCCGGTTCGGAGTCTCTGCCTGCGGAGGAGAGGGAGTTTCAGAAGGTTGTGGCTCAGCTCGGAGGAAAGGAGAGGATTTATCTTGTCAGTGATGTCTGTGGAAGGAAGGAGGTGGACGGAGATGACGTCGGGATGTTCCAGGAGTTCATACGTGACATGTTTCACAACAGGAGCCCTGAAAGCAGCGAAGGACAGTTGCCGGCCTGTGAGCCGACGGATCATCGCGGCGACACTGAAGGCGGGACAGAGACCGGAAAAAGCAACGAGATACCTTTAACTGAGAAGAGCGAGACCTTGCAGGAGGACCGGGAGAAGGAGAAACCGCCGAGGAGCAACCCTCAGAGAACTGCGACCAGGAGGTTTAATATTTACAGCTCCAAGCGGGCTATAGACTCCCCGGTCATCGTCTTCATCTTCAGACAGACCTTCATCAGCAGGACTTCAAACGAGCTGTGTCTGCTGGAGATCCTGAAGGACGTGAAGGCGCGCACGAAGCGTGGCCCGGTCAGCCGGCCTGCTCTGATTGGACTGATACACACCGCGCAGGAGAGCGCGGAGACGCAGCGCTGTGCGCAAGTCCTGGAGCTCTCGATGCGCTCCGTGTTCCGCAAACACTCGCCAGACACGATTTGGGTCGGCTGTTTTGTCCCGAAGACAGAAGACAGAATCCTGGTTATCAAGAAAAACACGTGCAAAGCTGTTTACGCAGCAACCCAAACAACAGGTATAGACGTCAATTCATTGAAGATTAAGTTAATGTATTACTCGATTTTCTTAATTTTACATGGGGTATACTGACGGGAGGTCTTGCCAAGGGCACAATTCATGCAAGAACAGCCTCTGTGCAGCATAAAAAAGTGAAACATCTGGAATTAGCTTTATAAAGCCTTGAATCCAGTTTTAGGAGTAAGACCACCTCTTTTAATTTGCTGGCCCCAGGGCTGGACCTAGGAAATCGTGGGCCCCCTGGCCAACAGCTTGTTTTTGGTGGCTACACAGTTTTGTTGCTATTTAGATTTTCTTTCTATGGGATACAACTTTTAGGCCTTTTTCACAAAGCAGTGCTTGCTGAACAGTGAAAAAACCTTTTTTATGTTTAAATGCAGCTGAAATATGTTTGGAGTTTATCATCATGTATGAGCTAGGCAACTCTGCCTTGAATATATCTGTATTGGCTAAATTTGGACAGGAGACATCCTAAAGCATCTATTGCTTTGAGGAAAATTTAGTATTTGTTGTACAAAGTCCTCCTATAAGAGGACTAGTTAGAAGGACTAATTAGTTGTTTTCAAATAGTTCCATGTTGCTTTTTTTTAATGTAAAAATCCAAATGAATTAAAACACCTTACGGCCAAGTGGATTTGAATGTTGTCGAACTATAAGACACAGTGCTTGGAAAGCATTTATTTACAGAAACATACATCTGTAAATAATGTTAATTTTGGGAAAATTAAAAACAGGGAAGGTCACTGAGCTACAACATTTCTTTATTTATTTTAAACCTTTGTAGCTGCTTACAGCTACAAAAGTTTTGGTTATTGTTTGACTCGGGACTTAAAAACTGAAACTAAGGATTAGGATAACAGTGACACATTCCTGCAGGGCTCTTTTGGGCAGGACTTTTCCCGGACCATGAGGTTTTGTGGAGTCCAAAAAGCAGTTTCTCTCTCACTCTCTTATTTTTTTTTTATTTAGAATGTTTTTGGAAACAGTATTTTAGAGATTTTCAAAGAAAACCTAAAAGCACATATCAGTTTATTCATTCAAACTCATTTATACGACATTAGAAATTATCAGGCCCCTTGGACTGACTGTCCAAAGCCAAACACACAACAACTGGTCCAAAAATCTCTGAGTTTGTTTACCCAAGAGTCTTTATCAGGCTGCTGCAATTTGTTAAAGAAACTTTTGTGGGAAGGGACCAAGACTTGCTCAAAGCTGAGGGCCACCACATCGTCCTAAAGCAGACCAGCATGCACCGTGACATGTGGGTCAATGTGTGACATTCACAGGACCACACATTTTTGCACACATTCTTTTCCCCTCCCAGGCATAGTTGCAAAGTCCATAGAACAAAGGCAGGATTCATAAAACAATCAGGCTCTTGGATGTGATGCCAGACCAATAAATTCTTATTATTGCCTTTCAGATAATGCCGGGGAAAGAGGAAGCCAGCCTTTGTGGCCAATCCAGTGTTGTTTCAGGCCTCAGATGGGAGAAGTCACAAGGCAGACCAACAACAAATCTTCAAACTGCAGACCAAAAGGTGGCAGCATTATACTTATAAAATGATGTTATTTTATGATGTCCTTTTTTCATTTTAGGTTACACTATGTAGGGAAAACATATTCAGAGCATGATGCTACCAACACTATGTAGAGGATGGTGTGGCCCAGCATTACCTGAGAACATGTGTATGATTGTTTTCTCCCTCACATAGAAGACGTTTTGCACGACTTAAGGCAATAAATAGAACTTCTCCTTGTTTTTTTAAACAGTGGATTTGTTTTTGCCACTCTTTCACATTTGTGAAGTGCTCATCCATGAGTTGTGGATTTTTGCAGCTCTTTCAGAGTTGGCATGGCTTAGAGGGGTGATCACATCTTTATAGGTTTCCAGTCGGACCACACTGTTATTCAGACAGTGTACAAATCTTAGGAATACTTTTAAAATTTGGAGTAATGTTTCACAACCTAAAGTTCCCTTGAATTTCTCCATAACGTTTTTTAGGGCTATCAGAGTAAAGTATAGCAATGTATTCTACATTTTTTAAATATTTTTTTGTAAAATAGAAATTAAAACCATATTATTTTCCTTTCGCTTTACAGTTATTCACTGCATTGTGTTGGTTTATTTTTAATGTCTTTTGCTTTCATTCTGGTCTTTCTAGCATGAAGAGAAGCTGAATTAGTTAAAACATACATCTGTATAGTTACATCTAAACTCTTACAACTAAACTTTTAAAGGCATAAATGATGGCTTAATTAAAAACAAATCTTGTTTGGTTTAATTGAACATTTCAGGTGAAGATGGAAGCCCAGAGGAAGGACTACCTCTAAAAACTGGCGTCTTCTCTGCTGAACCTCTTGTGAAAGCTCCAGTGGATCACTGATGTTAAGACATGTAGACCTATCACTGTGGACATCCACACTGTGGAAGTTTAACAAAAAAAAAACATGATGTCATGTAATGGCCTGGTTTTTTATTATATGATGCTGAAACTATCACCACTGAGCCAACCAGACTTCTACTCTCAAAGATGCTGCCTGACAACTTGTTCTTAATAAATAACCTCAAGATGATTTTCTGTACTGTATAGTTTTACTGTAACACCACATTAACAGGGTATTTGATGAGATCAACTGAGGTGTGATACATAAATAACCATATGTTGAAACAGAATAGCTGCTTGTTGGTACAATCAAGTCAGCTCTTATTTTAACAGCCTTGAAGCAAAGTGAGCTTTCTTCTTGACGTCTTTTGTTTTTTACTCGATACTTTAATTTAAACACGTAAATGATTTATTGCTCTATAGTATTTCATTTTTTTAAGTTAAATTTTTTTGCCTGACCCGGTGACCCAGAGGTGTCTGAGGTGACACAGTGACCCAGAAGAGCTCCATCTGTTGCAAAGAAAATAAATGACCCAGACATTTTAAAGAGCTCATTTTTAAATGCTGTGAAACAATTTGATTTTGTTTATGTTTTTGTTTTTATTTTAGTAGAACTTTGTGCCTTAGACAATGCACTGTTTTAACTATTGTTTATCACAGGAACAAAATGCAACTGTTTAAAGTTTAAGTATTTATTTAGAATTTCAGTTTAACTGTCTTTATGAATAAACACACTTTAACATGGATTGATATGGATTTTTTTTTTTTTTGGTGAAATATGGTTATTGTGTTGAACTAGGTTCATTAAAAATATATTATTGGAAAACCCGTTTATTTTAGGAACTTATCACTAAACAAAACAAATTATGTAGAATAATTAAACATAGATCGATATTTTAGCGCTGCTCTGCAAGACAATTTTTTGCTTACAGAAAAAAAACTTGACATTTAAAGTTAAAATATTATAAGATCAATAAAGTTGTTTTTTTTTTGCACACCAAAGACAGTCTCTTCTACTTTCATTGTCATGTGACATTCACAGAGCACTTTGTCTCTTAATTGGGGCCATCTTTCTGATGTAGTTTTTCGATATTTCATCTTGGATGGTGGCTCCATAGTCTTCTGCCTCTTTCTCTTAGTACAGATATTCTACAGGCGCTGAATCTGGGGTGGAATCCCATACATGGCAAGTCGTTACTATGTTTTAACATCTGTGGTGAAAAGTTCCTCCTTCTGCAAATTAACATAACTTATATAGCAGGTAGAGGAGGAGTCTTGTCAAACGAAAGAGGTAGTCTTTAAAAATGCCTTCGAAAGAGGTAGTCTTTAAAAATGCCTTTCTATAAATCAATTACACTCAAATTCAGTTGAATAAAAAAATGAACACAAAACAATTATGATTTCTTTCTCATGAAATTTTTATTTTTTGGTAATTATTGGACAGATTGAGCACATGACGAATAAAGTAATATCGTGTGCATTTATGATCAGGCAGAAGGGAGGCCAGCTAACACAGGTCCTTTCCAACGGGGGCTTACGATATTATTGGACAAAAAGAAGTGTAGTTGCTCAGAGCGTTTACAAATATAGCAAATCTTATATTTTCTCTCCGAGAACCCGTGAATACGTCCACCTTTTAAATCTAATTAGTGGATTCGGGGATTTATTCGAGAAGCAGTCATGATAACATCTGCCGGTGAGTCTCAGAAGAAGGTTTTTAATTTTGTAGTTTTAACTTTAGCTAGCTGCCATTGAATTAGCTGAGTCACACGGTGCTAGCAACCGGTGACAGCGGACAATACAAGCCATCTTCGTGGTTCATGTGGTTCAAATAGGTTTAACGGAGTAAAATATTTATTCTTGAGGAAATAAATGTTTCAACTGTCTGAAATAATCGGTCCCCCCCCCCCTAACATGAGAACTAATCATTCTTTCAGAACGACTCAGCTGCGATCATTTCTATCATAATGAACAAAAACAAAAAGTTCTGTGGAATTGGAAATATTATGTGGAATTGGAAATATTTGTCTTTTACGTGGCAAAATTATGTGTGGGTTTTTAGGGGACCACATACTTCAGCTGTCTGAATCTACTGCCTCTCTGTGTTTTATTGCTTATGGAAAGTAAACATTTCCAGGTTATTGCAGACTTCTGCCCAGGTCCCTCTTGAAAATGAGATCCAGATCTCAACGGGGTTTACCTGGTTATATAAGGGAAATAAAAAAATCTGTATTTCATACTTGGAAACGAGGTACTTAAATGTTGCTTCGGGCCGGGGGAGGTGGAGTGTTTTTGTTTTATTTTCCATTTGCAAAAATTCAGGATGTTAAAGTTTCTTTGTGTTTGTCTTTTTACAAAGCTGGGATTATTTCCCTCCTTGATGAAGAGGAGCCAAAGCTAAAGGTAAATATTATTTGCACAGCAATCTGTCAGACGTACTGGATTAGTAAAACATTTCTGAACATTTAATAACAAATAAGACCTTTTTATAAAACGTTAGTAGTAAAAGATATTCCTTTCTTTTTGGGTTGAAGCTTTAAAATGTACGAATTAAGTTGTAAGCAAGGTTTTGTCTAATTTGCAGGAGTTTGCTCTGCATAAACTAGACTCTGTTGTGAACGACTTCTGGGCTGAGATTTCAGGATCTGTAGATAAAATGTAAGTATAAACTCATAAGTTTGAATGTGATGAAAACGGGGCAGCAAGAAAATAAGAGTAAACGTTTACAGAAAAATAAATGTAAATTTCAGAGTTTTCCTTTTCAGTCAAGTAAAGCTATTCCTCTTATATGTCCAGTGAGGTCTTGTATGAGGATGAATCTTTTCGGAGCCGAGAATTTGCTGCTCTGGTGGCCTCAAAGGTTTTCTATCATCTTGGGGCCTTTGAAGAATCCCTGAACTATGCTCTGGGAGCCGGGGATCTCTTCAGTGTTACAGATGACTCAGAATATGTGGAGACCATCATCGGTGAGAGATGAAACAAGAATACTTCTGTTATGACTGTAAAACTTAGTTCATAGTGAGATGATGATCTTTATTTGTTTATGTTTTTCTGGTGGAAGTGGAAAATCATATTTGTTTCATATCACTCCTATTCAGGCAGAGTTAACGCACGTATCCCCTTTATTCTGTTCAGCCAAGTGCATTGATCACTACACCAAGCTGCGGGTTGAAAATGCTGAGCTGTCAGAGGATGAGGAGAAGAAGAGCATCGACCCTCGCCTTGAGGGCATCGTCAACAAAATGTTCCTGCGTTGCTTAGATGATCACAAATACAAACAGGCTATTGGCATCGCCTTGGAGACCAGGCGTCTTGACATTTTTGAGAAGACCATCCTGGAATCGGTCAGTAACTTTTATCATTCACGTATACAGCTGGTAATATTTGCTGCAAACTTAAACCTTTCCTAATAGCTCTACATATTGTGAACTGTATTGCATTTTCAGATAAAAAACTCAAGTATTGGTCAGATTTGTTCTGCAAATATTGATTAAATATTGTATTTAATCAAATTTTAACTTGTCAAAGAGCGTTTTTCTCTCTCGTGTCTTTACATTATCGTTGTTTTGTTTGTATTTGTTTTGTTGTCTAGATTGGTAATATTAATTCATTATTTTGGTTGTCCTTTTCAGAATGATGTGAGCGGCCTCCTTGCTTACAGCCTGAAGGTTTGCATGTCCCTGATGCAGAACAAGAAGTTCCGTAACGACGTTCTGCGGGTGTTGGTCAAGTTGTACATGAATCTGGAGAAACCAGATTTCATCAATGTTTGTCAGGTAACTGCAGTAAAAATGTCTTTAAACTTGAACTTAACAACAGCCACAAAAAAATTTAGAGTTGCAAAAATGCTGAGTGAATGCTGCAAGCCAAATATTTTTTTCATAAAAATTGCAGAACAATTTAATGTATACTGCAGAAATGTAAAAAAAAAAATAGACATGAGCCATGGAATAAAGTAAAAGCCTTCAAAATGCAAACAAGAAAACTGTGAAAACTTTCAGTCAGTACAAAAATCTCACCTGAAGAGATTTAGAAATTTGTGAGGAACACAGTTTACAAAGCTAAACTGTAAGGTCAAATGAGATAAAAAGCCTAGTCTAGCTGAAATGCTATTATAGTTGGTAGGTTAGTTCTGTAGGAATCTTGACCTATAGCAGCATATTCCATGCAGTGTAAAAAAACACATGTAAAAGCAAAGTTATCTAAAATGTGCTCAAAATTGGCATTGGGGTTTGATGGAGAGTTGTTATCTCTCTGTTGACAATAGATTGTGAATCTGATGTATTTTAAAACCATAAAGTCCATCAGGAATGTACAGTTTGGTTTGGTGAGCAGTGGTTTTCTTAGCTTAATGTCCATGGTGGGGTGTTTTTGCACCCCTTACTGGGAGGGACGTACAACGCCAGGTAGATGACAGGGAAGAAGCCAAGGCTGGAGAACCAGTGTGATGCTTTGTGTAATGTTTATAGTCAAGACTTGGATCTTGTTATCCATGTACATGTTTTGTTGACGGCAGAGTTTGAGGTGTTAATTTGTCCTCCAAATCAAATGAAGTTAATGGATCTGCATGTGTTGGTTCCAGGAACCACAGCACACCTCCAGGGGGCGAGCAGAGTACATTTCTTGAGTGGTCCAGGCTTTTTCTTTCTTTTTTTTTTTTTCTGCACAAGTCTTTTATTATACCTGTATATAAGTGCTTTTTCACTCCTCTTAAGTTTCATTAAAAACATTTTGAGTTATTTTTTTTTCTTGTCTGTTTAGATTAGACATTCAGACATGAGTTCAAAACAGCAGTTATATTTGGGAAGATTGTAGAAAAATTGGAAACAATTGTCCAAAAATAATCTTTGGCTTAAATATCCTGATGTATAGTTTATTTAGAGATCTAATTATACATTGGGATACAATCATAATTTTACTGTTTTTAAACAACAACAAATAAAACCCAGATCCCTTATTGCCTCCCAATCAAACACTAATCTTTTCTCAATTTAGTTCCATAAATAACATCTGAACAGTGCCAACGTTTAACTGTTTGCTTTCTTTTTTTTCCCCATTAGTGCCTGATTTTCCTGGATGACCCTCAGGCTGTCAGCGACATCCTGGAGAAGCTAGTAAAAGAGGACAACCTGCTAATGGCCTATCAGATCTGCTTCGACCTCTACGAAAGCGCCAGCCAGCAGTTCCTGTCCTCCGTCATTCAGAACCTGCACACCGTCGGGACGCCCATCCCTGCAGTGCCTGGCTCCACAAACACCGGCACTGTTCCCACAGCAGACAAAGAAAGGTACAAAGAGCTGAAAAATATTTAGGTTCACATTTTCTGGCCAGCTTGACCAATAACTTGTAAGCTAACTAAAATTAATTAAAATATTTCTTGATGGGATTCCAGTGAAGCAATGGAGACTGATGAAAAAGCTGGAAGCTCACCAGCTGGAAAGGCTGCAGAAACTGTAAGCATTTCATGTTGTTTAGCAATGCTGGCTTTTTTTTTTCTAAATAATGAAAATTGTTACTTCAGTTTTCCTCATGGCCTCTGTGAATTGTTCTAGAAGGAAGAACCCAAAGACCAGAATGCCAAAATGATCAAAATTCTTAGCGGGGAGATGACCATAGAGCTGCACCTACAGTTTCTCATCCGAAATAACAACACAGATCTGATGATTCTGAAAAACACAAAGGTAGGAAATGCTGGATGACTGAGATGAAACTTCTGTGAACTTGTTCAGATGATTGACACATTGTTAAAACTTACTTAATGTTTGATTCTTTGGTGCTGCAGGACGCAGTTCGAAACTCGGTGTGCCACACAGCTACAGTGATCGCCAACTCCTTTATGCACACAGGAACCACAAGTGATCAGTTCCTCAGGTAAAAAAAAATACATAAATAAAAAAGACATTAGAGTTTAATATGTGCAGCAGAGATCATTTTAAACAAGTTTAACTTTTCTTCTCCCATAGAGAAAACTTGGAGTGGTTAGCAAGAGCCACTAACTGGGCAAAGTTTACAGCCACAGCAAGTCTGGGTGTCATTCATAGGGTAAGACTTCATTAAAAAGTGAAATTTGAAACAACTAACCTGTTAGCTTCTTTAAATTTGTGATTTGACTTTGAATTTTAGGGTCATGAGAAAGAAGCGCTCCAGTTAATGGCCACTTACTTGCCTAAAGACACTTCCCCCGGTTCCGCTTACCAGGAGGGAGGAGGCCTATATGCTCTGGGCCTTATTCATGCCAATCATGGTGGGGACATCATTGATTATTTGCTCGGTCAGCTCAAGAATGCCAGCAATGATGTAAGGTTCCCCCCCCCCATCTTTTTATGTTGTTTATGTCCTTTCAGAATGCAATATATAATGAGAAACAGATTTTTTTCCTAATTGTCTGGATTAATTTTTTCCTTTTGTAGATTGTCCGTCACGGCGGAGCCCTTGGATTAGGTTTAGCTGCTCTGGGAACAGCCAGACAGGATGTTTATGACCTGCTGAAGTCCAACCTTTACCAGGATGACGCCGTCACTGGTAAGCTGCTGAAATCACCAAATCACTGTTGTGATTGCTGGCAAAGCAAATGCAATATAAGAACTTTTGTGAATTCTAAATCATTTGTTCTCCTCAAAAAAAAACGTAATTTATTTTAGATTATTTTTTAACATCAAAATTGGTAGCTATTTTACGCTGCAACAAAATGAAACGCATAAATTATGCAGTACACATAAATTGTGCAGTACAAAATAGGGCTGCACAGTATATTGCCATATATATGACATTTCAACAGATTGGTCTTCTCTACCTCATTGATTATGTCAGTGAGTCACAGCAGCCCTAGAACTTGTTTATTTTTTATACTAATCGCCTTTTATGTTTCATGAGGTAAAGTTCAAAACAAAGCATGCTAATGGTTTGATATGAACTCCAGGCGAAGCTGCAGGTCTGGCTCTGGGTCTGGTCATGCTGGGCTCCAAGTCGGCCCAGGCGATCGAGGACATGGTGGGCTACGCTCAGGAGACGCAGCATGAGAAGATCCTGCGAGGCCTTGCTGTGGGGATTGCTCTGGTCATGTATGGACGCATGGAGGAGGCTGACGCCCTCATCGAGAGCCTCTGCAGAGACAAGGTTTGACTTCGAGCCACTAAGAAGATAAACTTTTGTTGTTTAAAACAGAACAATACAGATTGCCCAGTAGATTTAAAATAAACTGGCTTGATTTGTCATTGGAGGAGGAAATGTGGAGGGTATAAAACAATTTGAGAATAAACTAAAAGCCATTGTTCTTTATTAGGCTGTTGCACTGCACATATGTTTGATGTATTGAGTGCTCTGTTGCAGACTGTTTACTTTATGTCACATGAGGCTTTGTACTCTGTGCCAGGTTTCATTCTGTTAAAGTTAGCGGTGGGAAGGGACTCAAACCCAAACAAACACAGTTCAACTCTCTGCTTTCTGTCATTGTTTATGGTAGGACCCCATCTTGAGGCGATCTGGTATGTACACTGTTGGAATGGCATATTGCGGCTCTGGGAACAACAAGGCCATCCGACGCCTGCTGCATGTCGCTGTGAGTTTCATCTGTAAAGCTCTCCTACCGGCAGGTGGACGGGTTTATCCACCTGGCTGTAAAACACATGCAAAGTAGCTCTTTAAAATGAATATTGTACTGTAGTTTGATTTAAACCATTTCTATAAAGATTTTCACAAGTCTTTTTGAAGTTTCAGAAACTTTATGTTCAAAGCAGAAAAAAATCAAGTTTGTTCCTGCCGCTAAGTTTTATACTGAATCACTGATGTTTTATTGGTTGCTCTGTAGGGGGTGCTCTCTGCAAGCTACGTTTGTGCATGGGTGTGATAGTGGAGCTGCTTATTTTATGAGAAGCCACATCATTAAAACTAAAACTGAAGAGGTCAGTTTTTTCCATTTGATCTAATTACTCTGCTTATTTTAATTAAGGTGAGTGACGTGAACGATGACGTTAGAAGAGCTGCTGTCGAGTCCATTGGCTTTATCCTCTTCAGGTAGGATCATGTTTTAATTCCTTCAGCTTTCACCAGCATACTTTTTATTTTCCATAAAAGCCTTTTTCAACTTAACCAAACTGATGCATTATCTTGTAAAGTTAAGACTCCTTTATGTTTTGCTTTAGTAAAATGTATTTGTGGTGTGATTGGTACCAGAGTGAGAATAAGTTACCAATTTATGATTCATCTTTATGTTTTCATTACTTTTTATTTTTTACAGTTTGCATAAAGTGGAGTTATTTCACAGCTATATATATATATATATATATATATATATATATATATATTATATATATATATATATATATATATATATATATATATTTTTTTTTTTTTTTTTTAATGCATGTTTTCTGTTTGGAGTTATTTCATTTAAACTATTGTCTGTTTTTTGGACTGAAATTTGGACTATAACTCAAAACAAAAACAAAAAAGAGAGAGAGAGAGAGAGAGAGAGAGACGCCTGCCAGGTATGTTTGGGAGGAGAGAAAGAAAAAAAAAAAGAAATGTTTGCAAATTTTATGAAAACTGTAAAAATAAAAAGTAATGAAAACATAAAGATGAATCATATATATATATATATATATATATATATATATATATATATATATATATATATATATATATATATATATATATATATATAATATATATATGTGTGTGTGTGTGTGCAAGAAGTTGTAAACTTGCACAGCAACAATCCCTATGGTAAAACTTGGCAGTGGCAGCATAATGCTGTGGGAGAATCTACAGCATGATGTAGATTCATGCTGTATCATGGTATCATGCTATGGTTTGGAGGCTCTCTATCTAACTGAGCTGCAGCCATTTTATTAAGAATACATTTATAGACTATAGGTGCTGAAAGATGGTCGAGACGTACTGCTAAAGACCTGCAGCTGTTATGGAGATAAATATTTATGCTCAGCACAGTTTGTAGATATTTATTTGATGAAATTTGGAAACAAGCTGTAATTTTTCTTCCACTTCACAATTACGAATGAGATTTTGTTGATCTATCACATAAAATCCCAATAAACATTCAGGGTTTGCATTGTGACAGTCACAATGCAGAAAAAAGTGGAAGCAATAAACTGTGTGAATACCTTTAATATATTTGCCAAGCATTGTATTTATATGTGCTTTTCTATCTTACATTATTATGAATTTTATCATTAAATCCAGGCATTGTTTAATGGCACGTCAAATAAAAATCAGTGTGTACACACTGAAGTCCAAAAAAGGCTCTGGATGGTGTATGTGATCAATTTGCTGCTTGAAAAAAACCTCCATAAATCTCCTTTGTTTAGAAAGACTCATGAACCACAGGATTACACTTAGTCCACACTTTTCCAACCCCAATGACTCATTTAGTCATGTGCACTTCCAGGCAATCAGGTCATATCCAAGTTTGAGTCTACCATGTTTCTCTCTCTCATTATAAATAACTGGAGCTCTTGAAAGAAGTCGGAGGTCTAAGCAAAGATCACACTTTCTTCTCCTGCTTTGTTTTCACCTCTGTGTAAACTTGGCATTTCTTTCTTGTTAGGCTGAGTTTAATCTAAACTAGAACTGTTTATATGTTTGAATTATTTTTGTCGTCATCTGACGTATGAATACAAATAATTAGCTGCAGTTGAATACATGCATGGTTGCACAGTATATTGCGGATATATCAATGTATGCAGTACTGATTCTGGATAATGCTGTTTGGAGAGCAATAATGGGTGGCTAAAATATCCCAAGTGTTATGAACATGCATTTTCTAATGCTAATGTAATATTTAGTCAGTTGGACGTCCTCACAGCAGCAGACCCTCTCACAGGACACAAAAGGCTAAAGGTCACAGAGAGCAGGAAGCAAAGATGAGAAAAAAAGAAAATTGACAAATGTCACTACTGATAACGCAATATGTACCAACACTGTAAGCATCACTTCTCGCTCAAATATCGACCAGTCCTAATGCCATTGCACTTTAAGTCTATTGGAATTGCTGCCAGACTGTGTTTTTATTCCCCTTAAACTTTTATTTATTTAGTCATTTTTCAAAAGGCAGCATCTTGGCATCTCGTTGTGCTTTGGGCAGTTTTTGTTTTAGAAGATGGCAGAACAATTTTTTAAATTTTTTTATTAAAGAACATTCAGAATCCATTTTATCTCTTTGTTCATTCATATGTACAGACTGCCATTCCAAAACCATTTTTTACATTTCATACCAGCAGGCTGCAATATACATACAGGACGACTTCCCAATCATTCTCAAATTTAAAAAGTATCAAGAATTCAAAGAATTTGCCCTTTACAGAAGAGATTCATATTGTTTTAAAATGTAAGCATTTGGTCTGAGAGGGTTTTACAGCATATTTAGACAGTCCAAATGTAAGGATCAGCCGAGGAATATATTGTTATATACAGAATTCAGTCACATCTTTTGGCCTAAATAGGTTCCTATTCAGTACATTCTGCCCATTTAGTGGAATAGCTGCAGCTTTTTTTTCCAACTCTTTTCTGAATATTGTCTGAAATCTGAAGCTTTCTCTTCAAGTATATCAACAAATTACATGATAAAAAATAACCTGTGTTTAAAGGCCCACTGCAAAAAATGATGCAACAAGAAATACTGACTTGCAAAAGTTTTCAAAGCCTTCAGATTGTTTTTGTCAAAATTTAATGCACTGTATTGAGGATTTTTAATATATGATAAAGATTACTTTGATTATTGTAAAATTGAAAGAAATGATACTCCTAAATGAAATCAATTGCAACAAATTGCCTGTAGGGGGCGGAACACAACCATGGGCAAGAAGGCGCTATGGTCAAATGAGACGAATGTTGACTTTTCATGCCAGTACGTCACCCCAAACACACCATCCTCAAGGTCAAACATGGTAGTGGTGCTTTAGGGAATAGGAATGTGGATTTGAAAATAGATGATGCTAATTACAGAATAAACCTGAGGAACTTAACAATTTCTGAACATATAGATTGAGGTTTAGATCAAATTATGTTTGTTAGGATGCCCTCGTCAATGTCCTGACCTTTTTCATATCTTAATTTGTAAAACTTTTTGTAAAACTTTTTCCTTTCATTTCATAATTATGCACTACTCTATGACAAATATTAAAGGGATTGTAAAACTTTTGCAAGAAAATGATTAAAATCTTAGTTTTTCATTTTTATATGTAGGGTAAGAGTTTGCCTTTGAATATGAATATGCACCAAACCAAACCACATCATCTTTGTATCTGTTCATACACAGCTCACATGTTCTTCCTGCTTAAAATCTTCATTTTCAGTCAAAAGAATTGTGTTTAGCAGAACACCGCCTGGTGACTGCACAGCCTGCTGGCACCTTAGTGGACTTTGGTAGCTCACTCGTCCAATGCCGTTCTTCATTCCCCGCTTCATGAACAGTTTTGAGTTCTCTGCCATGGAAGATTTAAACGAAATGCTTGTAAGGTTCCAGTCTGCAGCAGTCGAGCCAAGCTGCCGTCCCAGCCTATCTCTAGGGTAGTTTTTGTAGTTGCAGGTGATGTAGCGTGTGAAAGCTTCCCTGAAGGTTTTATTGAAAAGTGTATAGACCAGAGGATTTATCCCTGATGACACGTAACCAACCCAGACAAAGATTTCCATCAGGCGGGAAATAACCTTCTCAACGCAGCTGGAGCACAGAGCAGAAGTGATGTTTGTGATGAAGAATGGGCACCACATGACGACAAACAGGAGGAAGACTATGCCCAACACTTTGGAGGCCCGCTGCTCGTTGCTCAGAGTCTGCATTGACTTCTTGCCCATCGTCGACATTCTGCGGAAGGATATTTCTTTCTCTGTGGGAGCGGTCATCATCTCCGCATTTGGTTTTTCTGGATGCCTGGGAAGTCTGATATCCAACATGTTCATTTGCTCAGCTTGAGGAGAAGCTAAGGCCGGGTCGCTTTGGAAAACTGTGGAGATCGGTGAGGAGCTGAAGCGCTGGGTCACCTTTGACCGCAGCAAATAAACCTTTTTCCGCAACACTTGCACGGTGAGAAGGTAGATGATCATCATGATTGTCAAAGGGATGAAGAATGCTGTCAGGGAGCCAAAGATGATGAACTCTGAGAAAGTGTTTGGTTTCAGCAGGCATGTGTGATTACTGTTGAAGGTGATATTCTTGTCGTGAATATTCTTCAGCCCTTTTATCGGGATTGGGACTGCAATACCTGGAAAATGGAAAATACTGTAAATATTGGTAAAAATAAAGACAAAAAAACTCTGAAGCCATATTCCAATATCTTATAATTAGATTTTTAATCTAGGAGATTATGGTATGTTTGGTCAAATACAACACTATTGTTTTTGTTGGCAGTTCATTAATACCCAGTGAACGATGGAAAAACTTAACTGGATAAATTGGCCACGATACAACCTTCCATCCGTTTACTAATCTACCCAATCTCTTTCCCGGATGAAGGATTTTCATTTACAGCAGCTGACATATATTTGACTCTTGACCTGACCTGCCAAAAATCCTAAATCAAAAACTTGGTTCTTAAGGGGAAAACTACTGAGTAATGTGTGACTACTCCAGAGATTTGTGTGACAAATGGTTGGTGCAGCGGTGAGCAATTTGTTTTTCTAAAAGTCCACATTACACGAGAAACTAGGATTGGTTCATGGTACAAATTATATATTTGACATTAAATTCTATAACTATAACTTAATGTTTTACTGAATATAATTAGTTTTTTAGACTCATTAAAATAAGCTGTAATAAAGGGATGGACATTTATTTTATTATCATTTATCATGAGAAATTTCTTACAATAATTTAGATTTATTGTCATGATAAACTCCCAACTAATGTAAAAGTATAGTGTTACTATTTTTTTTCCACTATTCAATGAAGACATCAATAAATACCAATAAATTTGAAAATACTGCTTTTGTATGCAGTTTAGTAATACAAATCACACATTTTTAGTGCCCTAAAGAAGCATTTACAAATGGGAATGTTTTTCAAGAGCATAGTTTGTGTTTGTGGGGCTATTAATTGCTGTGATACAGTCATACTGTTACCTAAAAAAAAAGCTAATAAATGGTTCTTATTACTACTTTTATTGTTATCGCAATAGCAACCCAAAATATTGTAATTAGACTTTAAGCCCATATCACCCACCCTTACTATAATCCCAGACGCTCCCTGTTTTTGGATTTAATTTTCAATTCTATTAAATTCATCCTAATAGTAAAGTGCCACATTCCCAACCACTGTTGTCTCAATGCATTCCACAAAAAAAAATTATATATATATATATATATATATATATATATATATATATATATATATATATATATATATATATATATATATATATATACACACATGTTCATTATATATATATGGTGTATATAATTTGTACCATATATATGGTGTTTAGGGCCCAGGAACAGGCCCTAAACACCAGAGCAATAGAGGCCCAGATCTACCACACCAGACAAGACCCAAGGTGTAGGTTGTGCAAGGAGGCCCCTGAGACAGTCCAGCACATCACAGCAGGGTGCAAGATACTGGCAGGGAAAGCGTACATGAAGCGACATAACCAAGTGGCAGGCATAGTGTACAGAAACATCTGTGCAGAATATGGACTGGAAACCCCGAGATCAAAGTGGGAACACCCCAAAGGTGGTGGAGAACGCCAGAGCTAAGATCCTGTGGGACTTCCAGATCCAGACAGACAAAATGGTAATGGCGAACCAACCAGACATTGTCGTAGTGGATAAACATCAGAGGAAAGCCGTTGTGGTTGATGTAGCAATACCAAGTGATTGCAACATCAGGAAAAAGGAGCACGAGAAACTGGAGAAATACCAGGGCCTCAGGGAAGAACTGGAGAGGGCCTGGAAGGTGAAGACCACAGTGGTGCCTGTGGTCATCGGGGCCCTCGGGGCAGTAACCCCCAAACTGGAGCAGTGGCTACAACAGATCCCAGGAACAACATCAGACATCTCAGTCCAGAAATGTGCAGTCCTTGGCACAGCCAAGAACCCTCAAGCTCCCAGGCCTCTGGTAGAGGACCCGAGCTCAGAGGATAAGAACCACCCGCGGTGGGCGAGAAGGGAATTTTTATTTTATGTATATATATATATTATATATATATATATATATATGTATATATATATATATATATATATATATATATATATTATATATATACATATATATATGTGTGTGTATGTATTAGAAATGGCTTTATAGCCCTTTCTAAAATGATGGGTATCATTTGTTCGAGTTGCTTTTTGAAATTTTGCAGCTCACTTCATGGTGCCAGACAGATATTAGGTGATTCTGATTTATTAGGTCGAATAGTCATCAAGTTGGTTTGGGTTTTCTTTTTTTTTCACATAAAACGTAAAATCATAATTTGAAAATTACATTTTATAGGTTTGTTTTGTCTGATGTTATATTATTTTGATCTAAAGCAAATAAAAACTTTTTCACGGCTCTCTAAAAGCAAGTTAACTTAGCAACCCAAGCACGAACGCTAATCCTCTTCATGGGTCACCTAAAAGGCAGGATACGGTCCAGAGAACATAAAAAAACCAGGACTTTAGTCAGAGGAATGATAAATAATAAGCTTACAAATGGATATGAGCCAAACGAGTGCGATCTTGGCCAGGGCTTTGGCTCTGGATTTGTATTGGCTGTGTTGAATCGGCTTCTTGATGGCGATGTAGCGATCCAGTGAGATGGCACAGAGGTGCATAATGGACGCTGTAGAGAAGAGCACATCAAGGAAGAGCCAGATTGGGCAGAGAAAATCTGGAAGAGGCCACCTAGAGTCTGAAGAGAAGACAAGATAGAGGTTAATCTTATCAACCATTTCCTTGTACAGTAGCTATCACTGATTTTATTATGTCTAAAATTAGCAGCTAAATTAATGAGCTTGTTGGGTTTTCTTATATTAAGAAACCCTTTTCTGACTGTTATGAGAGATTCAGGGCAGCTGAAGAGATTACAAACATCAGTCATGTAAAAAAAAAATTGATGTTTGTTTATGTGTGTGAGGAATGTCTTTACTGGAAACTTAGGGTTCACTGCCTGTTTATGGAGCTAAAAGTGCTTCATGTAGATTGTGGCTTAGACTCAGCTCAACAGTAGTGTTTATTTTGACTTCCAGGCGTAAAACTGGCAAGAAATTTGTTCTGGCTTTTGTCTCTGACTCCATTAACTTTACAAAAGCTTGTTTGTGGAAATATTTTGTATTTTTTCTCTTTATTATGATTATGTTCACTTATGTTTCATACTGGGAGGGATTTTTGACACACAGTTTTGGTCAGTTTGGGAGGATTTCATTGATGAATAACAGCTCTCCTTCTCCTTAAGTGGATGCTCACCGGAGGGTTTTTTTTTTTTGGAAATGTTGATTAAATTTGTCTTGAGAATAAACAGAATAGGCTGTGAAAGTTACCTAGCCACAGGCGAGCTTTTCATTTCATTAAACTTAAACAGGAATGTGTGAATCATACAACTTTGTTATATTATTCAACTTTGTCAGCAGGCTGCTGCCCAGTTGTGGTCACTTAGTTTATAGAAGCGTTTTATCTTCTTCTCAGTTTATTTTAAAGCAGTTTAACTGCCTTCATTTTCTTTCATTTATGTGTTTTTTCAACTAAACATCACTGGTTATTATAATTTCCAGAATTTTTGGGTCTTCGCTTGTACTCATTAAGAATTACAGAGCTCTGAGCATTGCAGTGTAGTTTTGTGTGTCTTATTATTGTTAGAAAAAATAAAAAATGGCATAGAAGCGTCTTAAATTACATTTTTCTTCTCGGGAATCACAATGTTGATCTTAACAAAAGCACAGGCTTTGTGCAAGGTCTCTAAAATGTCAGAAAAGACTTAAATTTGGTGATTTTAGGCAGCACGGGTCTTTTTACTCTATGTACACGTGCAAGAAAAATAAATAAAACAGATGAACAATTAATAATTGAGTTATGAGTGTGCCCATTGTTTGTTTACATTTATTTGTTTATCTTTTTTATGAGAATTGTACTGGCAGTATTTGTAATTTTGTAGTGAGGAATCCTGGCAGCACTATGGTGTGATCAAACTACAAGCCCCATGATGCATTGAAACAATAAATCCTGATGAAAGAAAATTATCTTCAGATTAGGCATTAAAAATGAAAATGTTACCTTAAATTGCTCAGCACCAGCTTCTTCATCTTGACAGAGTGTATTTATAAAGAGTTGCTGTTAAAACAATAATCACATTAGCTTCCTAAAACCATTAAATATTATGTACTTTAAGGGATGAAATTTAGTAACTTATATGTAAACGTTGTTGAGCGACAAGGCAAAAAATGTTTGTTTAGGCTAATAAAGTTAAAATTTTAACATGTCTTTGTTCCTAAGTTGAACATGAGTTAATGGGTAAGCAAGGTTTTCACTTTTCCTACCCTAAAACATTTAGAAACTTGAATTTAGATCATTTTGATCTCCAGTTCCCACTGGGTTAAATGTTTAAACAGGTATGAGAACAGTTTCTGGTTTTAGCACAAAGCTAAGGAACATTTCTAGAATACCTGTCTGGATTTACATTGCACACACATAAAGTATCGGTCAACCTGTTTATTTTTACCACTTGGCCAGCGTCGCTTTTAGCATTGCTTAAATATTCAAAAGGCAGCCTACTTAAAACCAGGTTTGATTTACAGAGATTCCACTTATTTTATATTGTCTTTTACATATTTCTAAATGATGTTTGTTGCTAACAGCAGGTTGTCACTACATACGGTATCCTGCGATGTGTGCCAGAGGGTTTGGTATGAGGTACTGGTCATCCTCCTGACAGCTTCATGTTGATCAATCAGCTCTGCTATGCCTCACCCTGACCTCATGTACACGTTATTTGTCCCTGTTACAAATGTCCTGCACTTGGTGCTGCTTCTGCTCTGATCGGAGGCTAAAGACAGCTGTCTGTAAAGATCATCAGCATTTATAGAGGCTTCCTCTTTACTGATGGCAGAGGTGAAAAGCACCTCAACAGCAGTGATGGGATTAAAGAAAATACTGAAACCATATTTATTAGTTTACTTTTACATAATTCCATATAGCTGTTTTTGGGGGGAGAGTGTTTAAGCTTCTCTTGTCATCCTGGTTTCTTTTAAGCTTCATGCGTTTCAGAAAATCTTAAAATGAACTTTATTGACTTTCAACTTTTTCCTTCTTTCTCAAATTGTCAAAAGAAAAACCTAATAGGGTCCATGTTGAGGCAGCAGACACTTCCAGTTCTTTTGAAAACCATTTTGATAGAGGACGCCTTGTGTAACACCACTAGTGAATGCATGCGTGTGTGTGACACACAATTACTATGTGGCCCATTACCTTCCAATTGAATTAATGAAGAACAGCTTCACTGCAGTACTTCGCCCTGAACTGTGTTGTTGTGTAGAAGACGTGGAATAGACGTGTAAGTCGGCGGACACTGCGCTGATTTTATTCAGACTGGTAAACAAGTTTATATGGGAGATAATGTTTCATACTTCATGCCTGTGCTGAGTGGCTTAGTACAGGCCTTACTGCTTAAACTACAGAGGGAATTTAATTTCTTTTGTTTTAGCTCCTCTCAAGTACTTTTTTGTGCTTTACCGAGTGTATTTGGTGCTTCCTAGAGGTATGTTCTACTTTCAGTCTCAGATTTTCTAATTGACAAGTTAAATTGAGTGGGAAAAAGAAAACTTAAATGTAGTTTTTACATTTTAAGACTTTGCTTTGTCTCAATAGGACACATTTTATGGTCTAAAATAAATCTTGTGATACTTACTATAGAGAATAGTGACAAGTGCAATGGGCATCACCAGAAGTCCCACCAGCAGGTCGGCGACCGCAAGCGACATCAGGAAGTAGTTGGTGGCATTTTGCAGCTTTCTCTCCAGCGACACGGCCAGAATAACCAGAATGTTTCCTCCTATGGTGGGGATAATCACCATGACGATGAGTAGGGCGGCCCATCTCAGCTGAGCCTCAGGCTCCTTGTCTGCATCTGAACTGTTATTGAACAGGTGAAACATGTTGCTGTTGATGCCGTGGCGGGCCTGAGCGTGGGCGGTGGCTCTGATCTCTCTGCTGTCAGACGCTCGGTCAGCATGGTCACTGGGTCCCGCAGGCGAAGGTGCAGGGTCTGCTGGGGCCGCTCAGGGCCGGTGCACAACATGCATCGTCCTGTGAGCGGAGTGACAAGTCTTTGAAATGACAAGATTGAAAGATTTAAGGTGCAAAGTCAGCAGGGCCGCTGCAGTAAACTACGGAGCTGGAATAATCCCATCATGAGCAGAACTTCCACAGCAAGACGATCACAGAGGTCCTCGCTTTCCCACGCAGGAAATTCTTCCGTCATCCACTTAAAACAGCAGAAAAAGTTTTACGTTTTGTTCTTTAATGTATTCCCATGTTGATATTATGGAGAAAAATATGGCTTACCTGGTTTTACATCTAATTCATCAGTGTAGTTTCTGTCTATTAGAATAAATCCATGTCCTAAAATATGCCTCTGTTTTTGAAAATGTCAAAAACTTCAACAAATTATTACCTTTTTCCCGGGTTGGTACTTGATGAGTTCCTTTTGCCTCTCAGTCCTTTAAGTATCTTCCCAAGCTGCAGCTCAATGCCAAATGCATTTCAATCTTGGGTTTCTATGTATATTCTTCCACAACTTTCATTGCTTCCTTTTACTGCAACGTTTTCCACATAAGAATGAAGCCGAACGCCCCACCGCAACAGTTAAATCTGTCCCAGACTGTACCGATCCATGATGCCGACTTGGCTTTCCCTCTACATGCTGGAAGGAACTCCAGGCTTGCTTTGCATCACCTGAAGCGATCACAGGTTTAAAACTTTCAGATGTTGTGGCCCCGCTCCCTCCCTCTCTCGCCGGCTCTGCTTCGCAGTCTGCAATCGGCTCGCACTCTGTCCTGTCTCGTCCACCCCCCACTCCACCCACCTCTTCATCTCGGGAGCCAGACTCGATACGAAACAGATGAATGTCTTCTTGCTGGCCACGTGCCAGCGGTTCAGGGAGGTAATTTCCCTCAACACAGCCGTCCCGCTGTTTATATTTGCCACTCTGTGTTCTCTCCCCCATTGGAAACGAGCAGTGACCTGGGGGAGGCAGCAGCGGTTTATGGGGAGGAACCTTTTTCTGTTGTGGTTGTACTGTAAAGCTTTTCTCCCCTTTTTTGTCCCCACTGTTCTCAGATGTTCAAGCAAAGAGAGTTTGAACCAATTTTCTGATTGTTGGGACGCATGGAGATATAGATGTAGATGGCTTCATTTTGAATAATGAAAACATAAAACATCAAAATAGTATTTATGCTGCACAAATAACCAAATTGCAAATTAGTATCTGAAGATTATTATATCCTTATAACGTCATTCAAATAGATATTCAGATATGTATAAATGCATTTTATTTCCACTTATTTGCATATATTTTCTTGTTTGTACAAAGAGATGCAAAACCTTTAAAAATTGTGGAAAAGGGCAAAAAGACTGAGATTTCTATAAATATGACAAGGACATATTCTTATTACAAAGTACAGAGTTTTAAATGCCTTAATCGGTAAAGTATTTTCTGAATGTGTTGCAAAGAATTTTCTGCTTATTTGGTGTACTGTACTCCCAAATTATGTTTTGTGCCATGAAAATTTTTACATAAAACCTTATTTTTGTGGGGGGGTTTTTTGGAGGGTTTTTTTACATTCTGGCAGTCTGTTCGTTAGTTTTTATGTGAGCATACTATCCAGAATATATGCCTCCCTTTTTATGATTACAATTTTTGACTTCCTGGACATGGCTTAAGCTTTAATTAAATCCAGGTGTCAACAAGGAAATCCTTGCTAGTTTATTGGCTTTCTAATAAAGCCCAGGTTCTTTATTGTGTGTTTAGATGAGTGCTTGTAATGGACGCAGGCAAGCAAATAATGTGCTCTTTAAATATTTGTTACACATTACCCCACATCATCATTTAAACAGCTTGTATTCCTGTTTCCTTTTGCAACAGCAAAAACATTCCCTGAACTCGTTAAAAAAAATTATTCATTGACATTTGTTTCTTTCATTGACATTTTTTCAAGTAATTTTCATCTTTAACATTTTAGCAGTTTTTTGAAACATTTCAGTAAATAACTTGTTTTCAGGTTTGCTCAAAGGCAAAGTCTTAAGATGGAGAAATTATACAATAACTAAGTTATTAGTTTTTGTCAGATCATTATTTAAATGACTTTAATATGCTAGAAATCACTTCTATAACCACATGTTATAGTGTGGGTGTTTTGAGCTGAATATTTTTTAAAAGAAAGTGGACTTCAAACGCTAATCATTTCTTTCCCCTGTGTTTTTCTGACCAGGACTCCGGAGCAGTGCCCCAGTGTGGTGTCTCTCCTGTCAGAAAGCTACAACCCTCATGTTCGCTGCGGGGCGGCCATGGCTCTGGGCATCTGCTGTGCTGGGACAGGCAACAAAGTCAGTTTGTCCTTTGCTTCTTCACTTTTATTCGATCCTCTTCATAGGTTTTGATTAGGTGCTGATTATTAACACTACAGATTAAAAATTATTAGTGAATTGCTCATTTTTACATCACAAATCCAGCTTTTCCACCTTGCTATCTTCACGTTTCAAGTCCATCTTTCTTTCCTCCTGTCACAAAGTGTGCGTCACTGATGCAAAGATAATGCAGGCTGAATGAAGCAGTTGGTTGTTGACTTGCTTATGAAATTAATACAACAGAAGATTTCAGCCAAGGCTATCCTGCTTTAACCCCTGCAGAAAAGGAACTTGTCCAAAACATCCTGACTTACTTTTATCTTGTTTTATGTACTTTTACTTATTACAACCTGGTGGAAAATATTTAGATTTTTGATTTGTTGACATTTCTTGGAGTTATAAAGGCAGGCAAGCACAGAAAAACTCAGATGTGAAAAGTTCATTGCAGATTAGCTTCTAAAGTGATCTGAGCTGGCATGTTGTCGTTCGGCTTTACTCTGTGCTTGTGATCGGGTTCTCTGAAGTCCAGAAACCAGAGCAAGGCAGATCTAGGGGGTGCTGCCAGTTCACAGCATGTTTAGTTATGAGAGCTGATCAGCACCGAGGCACTAAAGTTAATGTTTTGCACCTGATCAGCTGTTTATTTTTCAAAATCTTAGCGTTTGAATATTCTTCTGACCAGATCAGTGTCGCCTCAGGGAAAATGCTAATTTTGTGCCATTAGGAAAATTTCAACCTATTTTTCAGCTTTTCTTGCAAATACGAGGAAAAGTTCTCATTGTTTTTGCACTCTGTCACAAGATACTGTTTTCACAAATTTGTATAAATAGAGAAATTATTTTGTGGTTGAATGAGCTATGCTCTAATCCAGTTGTTTATAAGCTTCCAGACAGCTTTTAGAAATATTGAACTTTAATGTTGAGAGCAAAAACTGAAGGAAGCAGCCCCACTGTTTAATTAATGTGTTCCTTAGCAGCCAACCAGGGTTGCTGATTGGATAAGACAGTAAATGCCTTTAATTACCCCCCCCCTCCCACAACGCAGTGTGGGCAGGATGTGGTAGACGAGCGCTGGCTTTACACGCTGACTTATTGTCCCACAGCGCAGCCGTCTCAGCCAGTTAGGCCGAGAGCACTGATGAAACGTCGTTTATTTTACCTCCACTGTCATCATCCTGGTTTGTTGCTCTTTCCTCTGCGGGCCCGACACCTCCCGCCTGGCCTGCTGGTGTTAGTTACAGCCATAACTGCTCAAGAGACATAAAAGCTGCAGTGATAGACTGGCTGCAGAGCAGAGGAGAGCGTAGAGGTTGTCCTCCTTCGTTCACTCCCTCCTTCACACCACTCATGGGAAGAGAGTAATTGTTAACTCTGTTGTCCTGGGAAACCAGATATGGATGACACTAATGTCATTAATTTGTGAGGTCTGTTTGCCTCTGCTGATAATGTCTTTTCCTGTATTTAACCAAGCAAAAGTATCACTGTTGGAGTGGTCCGTTTGTCAACAAAGATTCTTATTTTTGCACAAGTGAAAGCCTGGGTATACAAAATCTTTGCAAGGATTTTTATCTAGTTTCTTGTACAAATATCTTAGTTTCCCCTTAGATCAAGTGTGCTAACATATAAGTAACTTTTCAGCAAGATTTTAGGTAAATAATTTTTTAAAATGTATTTTTAAAAGTATACTCGTTTCACTGGGAGATATTTTCATTTGTAACATGAGAAAACTAGCCAATGAAGCTAGTACATTTTATGTCAATATTAAGCAATTATTGTCTTACAACATACTTCTATATCTTGCTAAAAAGTTACTTGTAAGTTAGCTTTGACTTGTACCGAGATATTTTCACTAGAAGCTAGACAAAAAATGTATGGTAAGATTTTGTTTTTGGTGTGTTCTTTGTGAATTAAAACTAATTCACAAAGGACTTTGTTTTGACTACTTAAAGCTGTAGTAAATATAACCTGGTTCAACAAACCTGAACCAGTCTTCTGGTTCAGGTTTGTTGTGATGTACCTAATTGAAGAAGTTAAGTCAGTGAAACCATGTAGTCTGGTGCAACAAGCATATTTTCATTAAACGATTGCTGCAAAAATGAAATTATTGCAAGTAAAAAGGGTTTTGAAAACGGCATATCATTTGGTTTGGTGTTGGTTTCACCTTCCTGAAAGTTTTGGTCTTGACTTGGGCTTGGTTTGCTCTGGTCTCTGTGGTTCTGGTTGTAGATGTGGTCCATTGTTTCTAAACTGCAGCTTCAAACCACAGCAATAATACTGCTTGGCCTGGAACATTAAGCAAACTACACAAACTATGGAAAAAGTACCAGATGATCCTTTATTTATGTCAAATAATCCTCGACAGTCCTTCATGGAAAAACTATATTAATTAAATATTTATCATTAATCATTCAATTCGTTTAGCCCCCCTAATTAGTTTTGGATTATAGATTTATAATTCTCCACCTCTAGGTTTATGACATGCTGCTTAACTTACTCCTCTGTTTTCTACTTTGATGTTTTTCCTTCACAGGAAGCGATCAATCTGCTGGAGCCCATGACTAACGACCCAGTAAACTACGTGAGACAAGGTGCCCTCATTGCCTCTGCCCTCATTATGATCCAGCAGACTGAAGTTACCTGTCCCAAGGTGAGTGAGTCAGGAAGCTGGCTTTATTGTCTGCAGCCTGGATCGATGAGTTGTTTGGGACTTTTGTGTTCCTCATCAAGGAAAACTGGAGAAAGTAAAATACATCAGATTTGTGCAGAGGAGAGAATCTATTTGGGAAAGCTAAAACAGAGAACGTAGCTGGCATAATTGCACACACTCGGCCTTGAGGCGCCCCGGCCATCGTCACTGACTGCTAAGAAATGCCAGACACATTTTCAAAGACCTCTCATCTGCACAGCAACAGATCTAAGAGCTTGAGCTGTTATGCAGGATTGTGCTAGGAACCCTTTTCTTTCAAATGTTTAGTCGTTTGAAACTTTTCTTTTAAGTTTCAAACGACTAAACATCAAAGGATATCACATTTATGTTTCCTCCAGGTTTTTTGTGTTTTGGCTCTATGTCTGTATAATATCTGGTTTACAATTTGTTGTTCATAGCTATAAATGTAAAGCTAAGATCTGTCCATTCTGCTTTTGCCTCAATTTTGCCCAGTTGGTTGATAAATATCCAGTCCAGCGTTTCAGTCCAACAAGGACTGCAGTGTTTGTAGCCTAGTGGTCAAAATGCTTTGCAGAAGTGTTGAACACTTCATTTTGTTGTGTGATACTTTAGCAGTTTGATGTGTTCACATTTGAATCTACTTCTTACAAATATTTAAAAGTTTTGCTTTTCCTGAAAAATATGTAATTTGTCAAACAAAACATTTTTTCATAGATTTTTTAATGACATAATTCAGAATACATTGTTCATACTGGTGCTTACAATCCTTGAAAATGTTAGAATTTCAATTGGGTGTTTGTAGAAAGT